GTACTGTTCATCATCGAGACCCAACAAAAAATCCATCGTCTTCTGACGTTCAATACGAGCCCGTGCAATTTCGGCAGCGGGACACACACAACCTCCAGTTGGGTCTTCACTTCCATTTAGTTGATTCCAAAGAGTTATAAACTGATTGTAGTAAGCGACCACACTCTGGCCCTTTTGACGTAACCCATGCAACTCGCACTTCAATTGATACATACGAGGACCATTGGAGCCACCATAGCGTTTCTTAAGATCATTCCACAAGTCAAACGCGAGAGTATGATTGATTATGCTCCGTTGTATGGACTCATCCACGCTGTTACAAATCCAACTACAAATAATGGAGTGATTAGACTCCCACGTGACAAGCTCGGCCTCATCTTTGGGTTTAGGCACTCCCGTAGATGTTAAGAACTGTGCTTTACCACGGCCACCAAGAGCATGACAAATAGCTTTCTCCCAAACATCATAGTTATCACTACGAAGCACATATTTTGTTAATGAATTACCCGGACTTTCAGACGGATGCAAATAATAGATTGTAGACGGATCATGTATCAAGTTTGCCTTCTTAGACGCCATGACGAACGACTTCAATCGATTGATGCACTATTGGCACTGGACAGTGCACCACGATGGCAACTGGACTGGACAGACGAGGACGACGGCCGGACTGGACGAAGTAACTTGGCCGGATTCACTGGTCGGACGACGGACGAACGACGCCGAAGACGGAACCCTAGACGTTGACGACGAAAACACTAGGCGCAGAAACGAAACCCTAGGAACTTAGGCTCCGATACCATGTAGAACTTTTGGAAAATACTTTCTTGATTGATTAGTTACCCCAAAGAGGTATATATACAAGATACATAAGTACGCGCCCAACGGGCCAACTAACTACAATATAAACCAATACTGCACAAGAATACCCAATAAAAAGCATCGTAGGGGTTCAGAATTTCGCACCCATCATTCCAGCGAGCCTGCTACACACAATTGCAAAATTCATAATCTCAATCATGTGA